GTGTGTGTGTGTTTGTGTGTGTGTGTGTGTGTGACAGCAGAGCGTCCACAACGTTCTAATTGACAGGTGACCCGATGCTGCACTGTAGCAACTATAAATAGCAGCAGATCTGAATCGTTGTCGGTTTCAAACCAGTACCAGTCGTTGCTGCCTGTCGGCTGCAAATTTCCAGTTCTGGCACTTACAGGGCTTTCCCAGGATGCTTCCAAATTTGGACTTCAGGACTGCAGACTTTTCATGTCGGGTACCGAAGCCACGACTTCCAAAGACTTGACTGTTGGACCCTATGTTACTATGACGCTTTGATACCTAGACCCTACTGAACTCCTAGAACCCCCTAGCTGGGACCTACCGGAACCAACTGGGACCGGGCCTGGGTGGGACTCTGGGACCGGGACTCTGGGACCAGGACTCTGGGACCGGGACTCGGAACTCTGGGACCGGGACCCAGGATATGGACACAGCGTGAAATCCTGTCACTGTGTGAGATGGGTGGTACTACATGCGGCGGACCATACTATGTGGAGAGGGTGGCACTATGTGGGCTGGGCGGTATTATGTGGCCTGGTACCATGTGGGTGGGTGGCACCATGTGGGGTGGCTCGTACTGCGGAGTCGATGGTACTGTGTGGGCCGGCTGGGTAGTACAAACAGAGAAAAAAACAAAAGAAAACACTGCTGCAAAAGGAAAAAAAAAGAGAGTAAAGCCAAGCCCAAGCCAATGTGGCCTGGGTGATACCATGTGGATTGGGTGGTACTACGCAGGGCACTATGTGGACTGAGTGGTATTATGTGGCGTATGTGGTGCCATGTGGGTTGGGCGGTACCAACGTGCGGTGTGTCATACTATGTGGATTGGGCCATGCTATGTGGGCTGAGTGGCATTATGCAGCCTGCGCAATACTATGTGGGTTGGGTGGCACCCCACATCAGGTGGGTGATGTCATACTAAGTGGACTGGGCCGTGCTGTGTGGGCGGACTGGTACTATGCAGTCTGGGTGATACTCTGTGGGTTGGGTGGTACCACATCGGGTGGGTCATGCTACGTGGACTGGATGGTATGATGTTGCCTGGGTGATACTATGTGGATTGGGTGGTACTATGTAGGCTGGGAGGTAGTATGTGGTTTCGGCTATACTATGTGGGTTGGGTGGTACAACATTGGGTGGGTCATACTGTGTGGACTGGATTGTGATATGTAGGGTGGCCAGTATGGCATGGGGTATATTTCGAAGTCTGGACCATTTCTCGATTCATCTGTGTCATACTTGCGGAGGGGGCCATGCTTATCTTCTTGTGTATGCATGTCATCCTTGCTTGCGTGGCTGAAGGCATATACTCACTCTAGGACGTTTTTTTGAATGAGCTTTGGAAATACAGTTGGATACATCCTGGTTCGTCTGCGGTTGAGGTCAGATGCATCCAGGAAAGTCCAATTGTATGTCCTGAATGGCACAACTGCCGATTTACAGTCCAGATCCCAATCCAGCAATAGTTTCTTCTTTTGGGACCCATTTAAAAAAAAAAAAAAAAAAAAAAAAAAAAAAAAAAAAAAAAAAAAAAAAAAAAAACAACGTTATAACTCACAAACCTTACCGCTCAGATAAGACACGAGCCTTCAAAAAAAAAAAAAAAAAAAAAAACAGTGGTGGTGTGTCAGGGGTGGAAATAGTCTGAGCCGGGATAGGCGGGATAGGCGAGGTTATGGGCATAGTTGAATGGTGATATGGGTGTTATGCGACCTGAGGAACTGTTAAGGAATCACCCCCGCTAGTATTTACTCTTAGGTGCCCACGTAGTGGTGGGTGCCACAAGATCTCTTCGATATCAACGTCTTCAGATAAGGACAGGAGCGCAGGCGCGTTAGCGTCTATAAATTCTCAATGTCGAGCTACCATTGGTATTGTTTCAAATGAGAATCATGGTAAGCGTAATTTTAGGAAAGCAGGGCAAAGTAGATGGTTAGGAAGAYGACCCGTTGTTCGTGGTGTTGCTATGAATCCTGTAGACCATCCTCATGGAGGAGGAGAAGGACGTACAAAAGGAGGCCGAAGGTCCGTTTCTCCTTGGGGAAAACCAACCAAAGGTGGATTTAAAACAGTAGTAAGAAAACAAAAGAATTAAGTTATGTCACGATCTATATGGAAAGGTCCATTTGTAGATGCTTGTCTGTTGTCTGTATACGTGATCCTATGGGCGCTCTTGCGTTTTCTTTTATTTACTTCGGCCTCTCACTCAACTCACTCACTCGAAGACTGGAACTACGAAGCAAGTAGAATAGAGAGCCGTATGATAGGTGACTATCTCATACGGTTCGGAGAGGACTCGAGTACCGCTGGCATGTTTTGCTCAGTGGGGAAGTTTCACTCTATTGAATATACAAGGAATTGAAGGTAGTATTTTACTCATGTTAAGTCATGGACTGGTTTCTTCAGCCCTTTTTTTATGTGTAGGTGCTTTATAGGTTACCCTGCTGTGTGACTGGGTGCTGCTAGCAAGCCTCCCGACCAGCAGGGCAAACCCCTTAAGGAAGGCCACGGACTGGGGAATCGAAACCCTGTAACAGTTCCCCCTTGCTAGGCGGCTTGTGCCACAAGGGATGGCTTGATCCTCTTTCTCGTCTCGTCCCCCCCTTATCTCTTGGATGTAAAAACATGCTTGCCAGTAAAAAGCAACCCGACTGTTGCCGCCCGGAATAGAAGGGGCGGGGTTTTGTGGGAAAAAAAAAAAAAAAAAGGAAACAGTGATGGTGTGAGGGACAATACCTGCGATATCATGTAGTCTCCAGGCTGTGGGACCTGCGTTGGGACCCGAGGGAGTGGGAATGGCTGCCTCAGAGGATGCATAAACACGCTATGCCGCTCCAGGAAGTGACCACGAAGAATATCTACAACGCCCTGTTGGAGCCTAAGAACATCTGCAACGAGCTGAAGGCCCGTGAAGGGTCAATGGGGCAAGTGGGATTGGCTCCCTGGTGCATACATAGACAGATGGACACAACGCAGGTCGAATGAGCAGTACGCCATGTCAGCCCTGCCAGACCAAAAGCAGGCTGGCTTGTTGTGGCAAATTTACCACCTGGCAATCCCGACAGCACGGTGGCAAGCAACCAAAAGCCGATTCAAAGACCAGACAAGCACCGCAGGATGTGGCCAGGTGGAAACCCTCCCCCATCTCTTTGTGCGATGCCCGGAGGTCCAGGCGTTTTGGATGTGGTGGGCAAAGGAATTTGTAGACAAGGCGCCATTGAACGTCGCTGAAACAGGCGATGCCGTGATTCTCCTGGGCAACCTGATGAAGGTCAATAGACGAGGGGCTGGGGACCTGTTGGCAGAAGAGATCGGAAGAGCGGTAGTGCTCTGGGCTCTCTGGACGCTGACAAATGAGCGATGCAGGCAAGGTGTGACTCGGCCGTTGCAGGCATATCAAGAGCGGGCAATGGAGAACTTCACGATGGAGTAAACGCATTGGGGAATATAAGGTGACCGGGTTCGGGGGGAGATGGGGCCTTACCTGCAGTTGCTGACTCGGGACCCCCATACAGGGCGGCAGCAGTACGGCCCTGTCCTGCTGCGCCATGTGCCCGGACCGGATATGGAGGAAGAGGGGGCCTGAAGTAGAAGGGCCCATGTGACCACGAGCGGACGCCGGTTCGTACAGAAGATAGCAACTTGTTAGCCCAGGAAAGGGATACTTTTGTTAATGTACCATATTAGGATAGGTGGAAGAATAGGTGGATGTAGGCAGTCACCGTATGTTAGGGGTTGATTGCGTACTACACTCTCTCTCCACATGCACAAAAGACAAAAACGATGGCGCTGTATCTCTCCATCTTCTACAGGAAGATTCATTCTCATTTTGCACCTTTTGGAGAGKAGTAGGGRGGGGGGGGGGGGTKGGGGGGGGGGACGAATTTCAGGCTGGGAAAAGAACAACTTTGGGCAGCAGTGTTGTAAAGCTGGGGACTACTACTTTTGAACGTAAGACACACTAAATAGGGCTGGGAGGGAACAGAGTAGACCATAGCGGGAGTAGAGCAGGGTAGTGTGGGATCATGGAGGGCAGGCTGCCTGAAGAAAGTGAATGCAAGGAGAGAGCTCGGAGGAGGATAGATGGAAGACCAGGAATGTGAAGCAAGACTACAGAGTAGCCGTCCGCTTCAGCGTGGCCGGAATAGTACCAGGAAGGGTGGCCTCCTGGGAAGCTTTCCTGTTCCGGCGCTCCCACGACGGCAACCACCGTGGATCGGAATCTGGCCTCTACAACAACCTGGACTTGAGAAAAAAGAAAAAAAAGGTGGCGATGAGGCAAGGGTAGGTGTGGGTTGACACCTATATAAGGGCAGAATGGTATATGTAGGAAGGAGGAGATTAGTAGCAATGACGGCTCATTGATTTTGTCGCCCTTTTCCACTGTGTGGCTACGAGCAAGTTTGGAGATTTGCAGCCTGAGAGGCTGCTAGGAGGGCCTGCCCCGCGCCTCGCCTCCCCCTAAGGCCTTTCTGCTGCGTGACTGGGTGCCGCCAGCAACCCTAGGGGAGGCCATGGTTTGGGGGGAACGCAACCTGCTTACTAACAGCCATGCAGCCCGTTACACGAGAGCTGCTTCATGCTTTAGGAAGACTATTGGTCATAGATATAAATATTAGCTTTGCTGGTGATTTCCTTAAACCACCAGTACATGCCAGCCATTGGCCACAGGCCCCTTTCGAAGGCTGCCTGTCATCGATTTATTTTATCAACGACGTGCACGCCTCCAAAATTTTAGAGGCGGGTCAATCGGACTCTCAACTTGGCTGGGGCCATGTACTGGTGCTTTAAGTCAATTAGCCTTCGTGTATACGCCGGACCCAGCACTTGGTCAGAATACTGCACACTGACTCAAATGGGAGAGTCTAGCTAAATGGCCTTCTGTCAGAACCCTACAAAATGGCCAGATCAGTCCATTAGGGAGATCCCCTGGCGTCGCTGATCTTCCTCTTCACAGTGGAAGCCATCGCCGTTAGGGAGATCCCCTGGCGTCGCTGATCTTCCTCTTCACACTGGAAGCCATCGCCTCCTATCTCTGGAAGGACCCCACCATTGAGTCCCTGACCGGAGACAATGAGCTGACGGCACATCCCGTCCACCTTCCCACCTCCATCCTCTTCGAAGACGACCTCACAGTGTTGATCAGGGCATCTGGGTCCTCGTTCCAAGCTCTCACCAGAGCAACGAAAGCGTTCTAGATCGTGTTGGAAATGTGTATTAAACCACCAGTACCTTTCTCAGCTATAGATGCCGAGCCTAAAATCGCCCTGCAATATCCACAGGTTGTTGCGGTTCCTTTGTTTCAAACGGCAATATCCGCTCCTATGCCTCCTGCAGACAGTCCAGCTGCCTGCAGGCAGCCGCGGGATCTTTGTCACGTTGTTTGGCAGAGGAGGAGCAGGAGCAGGAGGAGGAGGAGGAGGAGGAGTGGGAGGAGCTGGAGAAGGAGCGGGAGGAGGAGTGGGAGAAGGAGCGGGGGAAGGAGCGGGACCGGGGCTATGGCGCGGGAGGAGGAGTGGGAGAAAAAGCGGGAGGAGGAACGAGAGGAAGAGCAGGAGAAGCAGCGGGAGGAGGAGCAGGAGGAGAAGGAGGAGCGGGAGGAGGAGAGGGAGGAGGGGAGGGAGGAGGAGAGGGAAGAGGGGCGGGAGAAGGGGCGGGCGCGGGGCTATGGCGGGATCTTTGTCACGTTGTTTGGCGGAGGAGAGGGAGAAGGAGCGGGAGGAAGAGTGGGAGAAGGAGTGGGAGAAGGAGCGGGAGAAGGAGCGGGAGGAGGAGTGGGAGAAGGAGCGGGAGAAGGAGCGGGAGGGGAAACGGGGAGGGGGTTAGGAGTGGGAGGAGCGCAAGGGGAAACGGGAAGGGGCGGAGGAGGCCCCGGAGGAGGAGCGGGAGAAGGAGCAGAAGGGTTGAAAGGGGTAAGGGGGGAACATTGATTGATTGATTGATTGATTGATTGATTGATCACACAAAAAAACAAAAAGATCGCCCCATTCTCCTTTTTTGTTTTGGTTTTTCATTTAATCAATCAATCATCCATGTTCTAGCGGTAGATTCATTCGATTTTGCTCATCCTATCGATGGAAGTACCATGAGACCAGTATATTTCCATGATCTGGCTGAAGATTCATTCTGATTTTGCTCATCCTACACACACACACACACACACACAGACCGGCATTGCCATGCTTCACGAAACGAGCAAAATGGGATTGAATCTTCCCCTAGAACATGTAAGTACCCACTGCCACTACATGGAAATCTACACTGCCAAAGACCAAAAATGTGGCAGTGCATATTTCCATGTTCTCGCGACAGATTCATTCCCATGTTGCTCATCATATGGATGGAAA